CACGACTCGATTGACAGATATGCGTTTGTCAGCTAGGCTCCAGAAAAGAATTCAAGACCATAGGACTCGAATGATAGCCGTGAGTAGTGGGAAAACCCGGAAAGGGTTTGATTTTTGCATGTACCCGAACTTCCTCAAAAGTCTTAAAAACTAAAAGAAACTGCAAAACTAATGTTTAACTCGAGACAAACTGAAGTGTAAAGGTGGAAAACTAGGCTCGGAAATGCTCAAGCCGGAAATCGGAAACCGGATTGCGTTGGTGAGCTATGATTACGTCTACTGCTTTGCTTCGAAAATACTACCTCTGGAGAGCAGTGTGCTAGCCGAGAAGACTTAAAACGGTGAAGTGCTCGGAAACAGAGACGATCGGAAAACGGAAATCGGAAATCGAACAAGTGAGCTCTGTTCATAGAAGGACCAAACCAGTGACATTTGCAGCATTTTAGCCACATTTCGAAAAGTCAAAGCCGCACCCGATGACCGAGGGAGCGCTTCATCAACGACGAGAAGGCAATGCAATAAATCTAGTAGAAATATTGCTATTCCTTGGCTGAACACAAACAAAACTGGCCAGAGGATTATTGCCGGCTGTAGTCACAGCCAGTCACGGGCGGTGCTTAGCGGGGTTTTTCTACGGGTAATGTTGCTTTATTGCTTTCTGACTATGAGCAGCTCATTTACTACAGATACTTTACAAACTCATATATTGCTTGATTTTCACAGTGACAGGCGCCCATCAGTCTGGTGAGGTGCTGCTTGACATACTTTGCATGAGGATTCATGAGTGAGGAGAAGCTGGGAACAGGGTCAACCGCCACGTTCGACAAATTTTAAAAGTTTTACGACGCCCCCCCCCCTGTGGAGGGCCTCGATACTACCCCCCCCCCCACACCCACAGAGCTGTTTCTATAAGTATTTGATTCTGAGACCAGTGTCACACAGCCCAAGTCCACCAACACTCATTTGAAGTTCATGACCCAAAAATTTGACACTGCGAGGGCGAAAATGGACTGTAGGGAAAATTCAGTGGCTGAGCCGGTTAGGTTGTAACCCCAACATATGGGTTTTCGTTACCGATACCTAAACAAGGCCTCCATAGTGATTATCCTAAGCTTGAGAAAACCGTTGATCATGCGCACTAGAGTAACCTCCATATCAAACAGCGCGATAGGGCCAACACGGACGGGTGGCCTTAGATCTTAGGAGATTACACATTACGAATCACTCATTTTTGGACCTCTCCCCCATCAGTATTTAAATACCTACCAACAATCCGCAGAATAGTACTATCGATGTCGTTTTCGAACTTGAAGTCTACTGAGAAGGTAAAAATGTTGAAAGAAACAAGCAAAACTATTGTCCTCTGTGGGGCCACGTACCGCCCCATGTGCCACACACAACGCGTGCAGCGGGCTGGAACCGCCAGGTTTGTCCCACCGGTCAATATTTTTCAGAGTTACTCATTTCTTCAGGGTATTCGATCCGCTTGAATTACGGACTGTCGCAAAACGATTTTTTACGCGTGTCGATATGACAGCAAACGAAGAACATAGCTGATCAGTCCAATGCGGGTCCATAGAACTGTTGAAAAATCAAAGGACAGTGGAATCGGGTTTGAAGTAGTGTGCGAAGAGCAGACACTCTAAAGCTCTCCACTATTAACGTTAGGGTTCAAGGTCAAACCCGCCACAGTAAGGAATCCCCGAAACACCTCTCCCTCCTCCTCTCTCGCATAAAAGTCAAACATGATCCCTCACGCAGATTCTTTGTCTCAGCGGGAGTTGAAAGCTGAACTGGTATTCGAGGAACCTGAGGCCATTATAATTGGCTCCGACCTGGGAGGTTCTCCAGTTATGTCTTACCTAATTACTGGGAAACCTCCCAGTACGGAGCCATTAATGGCCTCAGGTTCCTCGAATACCAGTTTAGCTTTAAACTTCCGCTGAGATTTCCAGTCGCTTTCCGAAACTAGGAAATGAAACAGGAACCCTGAGTACTTCCACCTGCAAAAAGTAGGGTGAAGCTCCAGCTCGTGGGCCACTCCATTGTGTTCTCCAATACTAAGGATAAGGATAAAAGTTTTCATGGCACGTAATCGATCCATTCGAGCTCGTTTCTGATAAGGACCGGTGTAGTGTATTAAGTACACCTAAGGTGTTTCAGATTTCAGCCTGCAGTGGTCCTAGAAATGGTCCTGGACTAGGGTATGGACATCCTTGTCTAGGCGCAGGATGTAGGAGCCCCAGGATGGATGATCACATGCCATAAATTGTCTATGATGTGAGCAGGATGTGCGCGATGCAGGGAATACGCCGGTCTCAAAGGTGCACTAGAAATGAGTTGTTTATCTAGTATCCTCTCCATGGGGGTAAAGTCCAAAGGAGTGCTCTCCAGTACTATGGATAACGACAACAGGAAGTGCCGCCCCCACCCCTATCGAACTGGGGTTTCACTGGATATAACTATACTTTGAGACTGCGCCGGGGTAATCGGTGACGTTCACGAAATTCGCGCCCCCCCCCCCTTTTTAAGGGGTCTCGATGGCGGCCCCCAGCACCACCAATGAGACCCAAGGAGTCTCTCCTTATAACAACCCCTACCTACCCCCCTCGCCGTCATGGCTGTTTTTATAGATTTGATTTCTGAATTCCCAGTCGACATACACAGCCGGCGCGCTCACGTTCTCCTCCGCAATGCCAAGAAGATCGTCGAGCGGGGAGCGGGAGGGAGGGGCGTATTACATTGATGGCAATGAAAGATGGCTAATTTCTCGTCCTTCCACTCCCACCTATCCCACACCAAATACATCCTCAAAACGCCGAAAAAAAGAAAGCAGATCTAAATCGCCTCGCCCATCCACTTCCACTCAACAAGTTACTATTCCACCGCCCCTGAATGCGACTCCCATCCCAAAATGAACCACAAATGCGACCCTCTCCTTCGAAATAGTGCGAACGCACGGTTGACCCCAGAGTGCGCTCGGTCAGCGGAAATATTTCAAGCGATGAATCTCCCAGTCAGTCGAGTACCCGATAATTCTGCGCCAGATCAAAAACCCCCCATAGCGATTGAAACCCCAATATTTATGACGATTTTACGTCCTGCTGCAACATGTACTGATGCGCCCAAACGGCCTTCTCTGCGCTTTTTCGCCTCGTGAAGCATCGACGATTTTTGCAGACAGCACTATCCCACTTCTGGGAAAGATTGATACTAACTTAGACTCATCTTGAAATGAACGACTGGAATGCGCCTCCATTAACCTACGGGATCAACTTTTGGTTTTTATATCGATCCGGCGAATCTCAGTGAAAAGAAAGTGCTGAGTTCAGAGACGACTGCGAACAACAATCGGGCCAATTAATCAGGGGAAAGTGATGATGTGATTGTGTTGTTTCTTCATGGTACAAGAAGAACACACGGAGCTGAACAAACAGAAGTGCTCGTAAAATAACAAAAGCAGAACTAGTGAGGAGCAACACAGGGGGAAGAAACTGAGGGAAAAAATCGACCGGAAGCAATTTTGCTGGATTTCATGCCTACATTTTGCAATAGGAAATGCAGAAATAGCGTTCTAAAAATAATTAGTCTACTCTACTGGGGTAAGTCAGGAGAAAGTGTTGGAGAGGACTGGGTTGCGGTCGGCCTCATGAGCTGCAGATTCTCAGAAAACCATCGCTCTTGTGAGTATAGCGTTGAAGACAAAACATCTCGAGTCTTAAGATCCTCCGTGTTATTCCGACGTTCTATTTGCCGAGCGATGCCGTCTATCGTGAGCTTTTTTGAAACAAATTTGTCATGGATCATCAGTCAGTCAGACAGCAAGAAACTCGCGCTGCCGCCGCTCGTTCGGTCGGCTGAGGAAAAATGTAAAGGCAGCAGGCGGCATCGATGAGACTCCACACACACACATTCCACTAGAGACAGAAACAGAAAGTACTCAAGTACTTGCAAACAAAACAAAGATACTTGCGACGGGTGCGTGCGAAAACAGAAAAACATCAAAGGTGTGCAGAATCAGGGGTGAAGAGATAGGCTGACAGTTGTCACTGCATCCCTAAACCTGTTGCTATCGTCGCCCTCCTGTCTTGACATAATCCTTTGAAGCAGATTCAACGGCTACACCCGAAGCCTCTTCTGAAAGTCGAAACCCAGAAAACACGACGAACGTGGCGTGTCAAAAATTTCTCCGATACCCCCCCCCCCTGCACTTCCTTTTGACCTCTTTAGTAACCTCTTCAGTTCCTGAAATTTTGGAAGGATAGCTTTCACATAGAATTTTTTATATCTAATTAATTTTAATTTTGAAAGGCGGACAGGATGGTGACAGTGATATTCGATCATGTTCCTCAACTTCTTTATAACTTCGGAGAAGCTCTTGACAAGCGCTTCCGAGCCGAAATACGACCCCTTCCCCCTTATTTTGAAGCATATTGAATCCGACTCCTAAAAACGGAATTTATAGCTTGACTATCCCGATCGTAGCGGTTACTCTTTATCGCAGTTGTTCTTTGAAGCATAACCGGAGCTAATTGTCCGTAGGCCAAAGTTGTATGAGAGGATCGTATTTGTGCCATACGGACCCCTCAAGAAAGGGGAAGACTGTAGAGTTCTTGACATGGCATAACGAAATTGACTCTAACCGTAGCCTCAATAGTGACTGGGTGGGACTTCCTGCGACAGAAAGCGAGCACATTAGTATGAAACCAGCTCCATAACTTCTCCCACAAAGACAAAAGCATTCACCCGAATTGGCTCACAACACTACAGGCACATAACCCATATCAATCGACCGCGTGGGCGGGGCAGAGACTGTGTGCAACACCGGCCTATGGTACGAATCCGTTGGTGCGTTGACCTGCTGTTTCCCAAATCACTATTCACCTGTTGAAGTGATTCACGTCTTTTTCTAAACGTTGGTTAAACTAAGTAAGAGACCGTAACTCATCATTAAACCCAATCCTATAACTTAATTTTGTCGCCCATGACCTACATACTGCTAGAAGTGCCGTCACAACGTGGTTCTGAGGAGACGGAGGGAGGGGGCATCCTGTAACATTACGTCAGGTTTATGGGAACAGTTTTAAGACCAAGTCTTTGAGGTCTTCAAAGGCTCCGAGATGCGCAAGCGATTCTCGTTCTCTCCGAAATTCATCCCCCTTCATTAGTGGCTTCTCTACAGGTTGTACCCCCCCCCCCACCCCGTAGGCACATTGCGCCAAAATGATTCAATGTTAACCACTTCTACTTCATAAAAAGCTATGACCAACCTCTGTTGACTGTCCTGACTGACAGTACTTTGACGTCCGCTGCCGCTATCGCCTTTGTTCACCGGTATATGAGCCGCATAGCGTTCATGTCGTGCATTGTTCGCATTGGCTGCAATTGCGGCCGTGAACGATGTTGTCAGTGCCGACATGCCTAAATAATACAAAGGTAATTACAAGGCGCACTGGCAATGAAAACTTCTTCCATTAGTTATGCTGGGGTGGTGCGCGTGCGTACGCGGGGCGGAATTGTCACTCAATCGATACGTCTAGACTTTCGCGCATCGCGTCTAGAGTGATTTTAGAAATGAATGAGAAAAAATATGAACGAAAAAATTCTAGATCTAGAACTAGATGGAACTGGAACTGAGACACAAGAGAAAACAAGAGCGATTTCCTTAATTCGTCGTAGGAAGTGCCGCGCTGCATACGCCCGCGGCGTATCATTACATGTTTGAGGGTGATTTTTGATGAGTAAACCATTTCTATGCCCAGTATTCGGATTCAAAAGGAGTAGCCTACTGTTAGTAAGTGAAATTCATAAAACTGACGCTGAGATCAGATTTTTTAGCAATTCGCGCGACAGGCGCCCTCGTCAAACGAGTTTCATAACGCCGGCGCCAGTGGCGTGACCGCCGGGCGCTTCTCACCAATTGGGTACGGTCAAAGTAGCCGTGGCCTCAAATTTTCAGACGAATTCAAAAAAAGAAATTCTGGAGAAAATCTAACTCGTCTTGGGTTTTCTCAACAAATTTGAACCCAGAACTTCATAATTTTGTCATTTCAGCTGTTCACATACTCCCCCGCCCGGCTTACAAGGTCGATGGCTTTTTGAGTAACATTGTGAATCAGTAGCGATTACACTGCATCACAGGAGCTTTAAGGCGGGGTTGGCGGAACCCCCTACGTTGACGGGAGAGGGAATGGTCCGCAAT